CTATCCTCTTCCTCCAGGTTTCCCGGCCCATGCGTCTTCCTCTGTTACTTCTATCTCTTCCAGGTCTTTTCTCAGGCAGTCCATCCATCTCAATTTCGGCCTTCCTTTTCGTCTTCTTGCTGGTGGTGCCATCTCTAGCACTCTGCAACCAGCATACTCCTCGTCTCTTCTTTTCACATGACCAAACCACCTTAGTCGGGCTTTCCTGAACTGTTCCGTAATGTGCGTGATTCCCAATTTTTCTCGAATCACTTCGTTCCTCACGTGATCTTTCAATGTGTGGCCACATGCCCATCTGCACATTTTTATTTCTGCCACTAAAAGTCTCTTGGTGTTACGGGTACTCAGGGGTACCGTTTCCATACCAAATAGCATCGCTGGTTGGATTACCAACATGTGGATCCTGCCTTTCACCTTCGATGGTATACTTTTGTCGCAGAGGATACCAGACATCTTCTTCCAGTTGTTCCATCCACATTGTATCCTTCGGTTTACTTCTGCCCCGACTCCTCCTTCTGGCTCAAGTGTACTTCCCAGGTACTTAAATGCCATTGTTTCTGGTAACTGTCTCTGCAACATTTCCACTCCCAGTTGATGTCCCATTCAGGCACATATACTCAGTCTTTGATCTTGAGATCTTCATTCCTCTTCTCTCCAGCGCATATCTCCACTGCTCCAGATCTTCTTCCAGCTCTCGCTTCTCTCTCGCACACAATACCACATCATCGGCAAACATCATATTCCAGGGGGCTTTCCTTCTGCAATCTTTCGTGAGTGAGTCCATAATGATGGCAAATAGAAATGGACTCAACGCTGACCCTTGGTGTAATCCGACTTGTATTGGGAAGGTTTGTGTAGTTCCCACTGCACACTTCACTTCAGTCACGCAACATTCGTACATGTCTTTGACCACTCTTATGTATTTCTCAGGTACCCCTTTATCTCGCATGCACCAATAGAGCTCCTCTCTTGGTACCCTGTCATAGGCCTTCTCCAGGTCAATAAACACACTGTAATTCTTCCTGGCCCTCTCTGAATTTCTCTTGTAACTGCCTCAACACAAAGATGGCACCTATTGTTGACTTGCCTTTCATGAAGCCAAACTGTTCCTCACTAACCTCTGCGATGTTCCTTAATCGGCTCTCCTGCACTCTTTCATATAGTTTCATGCTGTGGCTAATGAGCTTGATGCCTCGGTAGTTACCACATTCCATGATGTCTCCTTTATTCTTGAAAATTGGTATTAAAGTGCTTTTCCGCCATTCATCAGGGATTTTCTCCTCCTCCATGATTTTGTTTTCTTGCCTCAGATATTCAATTCCAATAATTCCTAATCTCTTCCACACCTCGACCGGTAGATTGCCTGGGCCCACTGCTTCATGCTGCGTCGAGTTAAAAAAGAAAGAAAAAAATAACAATCACCTCTCACGCAGCTATATTGGAGCACATAGCTTATTGCCGTCAGAAGCATAGCGTTTTGTGTTTTGAAAATTGGCAGTGTCAAGAAGCAAATAATTTTGAATGAATGTGTTGTCAGTTTATTCTGCCACTATATTGATACCACATTAATAATTTACTGGTGCAGCTAGAGCAGGTTTCCCAACTAGGGGTACTTGAGATGTTGTCCATCTTGAAGACAAGCAATTTATCTATTTATTACTCATAATCAAGAAACAGGAAGAAAAGAGCCACTGAATTGAAATTTCATTTATACAAACGTTTTAATGGTACCTCTTTGATTTTTGCATGTAGATATTTCAAGCAAGTGATTATTTTTTGTAGGGCTTATGGAAATAATCTGGGACATGTTTTCTTGTCCACATATTTGATTTTTGTTAACATATTAGAAAATGAAAAAGAATATTTTCGTTTGTTGATTAAATTTTGTATAAATTCACATCCTTAAATAAGCTATAAATTTAAAGGGGGTGCGAGGACACAGTCAAATTTTCTTAGGGGTGCGGGCGTAAAATAGGTTGGGAACCACTAAACTAGAGCTTACGGCCATAAGCCATTCTCATTGTCCTCGAACTTTAAGAATGTAGCATAGAAACATATGGTCCTAAGCTCCAGCTGGTGGCTAGTGTAATGTAAATACAGTGGAAGAATAAACTGACAACACATTACTCTGTCATCTACCCTTTGATATTGCATGCCGTGCATAATGAATATACAAACGCTAGGTTTCTGACGGCAAGTTATGTGAGTAGATACAGCTTTTACCTTGTTGCGCAACTGTTTCGCTACAACGCGTCTTGGTCTGGGCCAGATATGTAACATTAGGGCCTTTAAGCAGTGGTTCCTTTTGAATTATCCGTTTCCCAAGATAAGAAAGAGATAAAAAACATCCAAAATGTTTCTGCCGATGATTTTCTAATAACTTTTCGTGTTTGAAAAAAAGCTAATGGTTATAGTATCTGTTGCTTGCATGATATGACGTTTTGTTTGCGAGTTATAAGCAAGCGCCGCATCACCCATCGTAAACTACAGGTACTCGAGCTGGTCCTGCAGACGCCACCACCTGCGAGGCTCCTATTCTACTTGGACCACATACGTATTTACAATTGTGTGCGTGTGTATAAGAATTTGCATACATATGTATTTATGGACGTGGATATTTTTATATATAGGTTTTTATATTTACATGTATATATATATATATATATATATATATATATATATATATATATATAATATATAATATATATATATATATATATATACACAATTATATTTCGATGCATACATGGGTGTGTACATTCTACTGCAGGGTGCTATATTTTAATGTAAATTTCACTTTAGATACAAACTCACTTGCAACGCTTTCTAAATTCTTTTTATAATTCTTTTTATGAAAAAAATGAAAATGTAGGCTTAATGCATTCTTTGCAACATAAATGTAGTTTTGTTTTTCTTCTTTGTTTTCATATATGATTCAAAATAATTCATTATATCATAACTTTTATTTTTATACTATAGTATTATTATGTTACACCTTGTTACCGTGCAGACGAGCCAGCGAAAACAACCGGCTGACGGTGGCCTCGAAGCACGAACCGCCACCGCTCACTGATAGGGTCTCGAGAGATGCGGACGCCAGGTCTCGAGACCTGGCTTCTGCATGATGTGGAGGCCATGTCTCGAGAGAAGTTAAGGCCATGTCTCGAGAGAAGTTGAGAGAAGTGTGAGGCCATGGAGAGAAGTGTGTGGAGGCCATGTCTCGAGAGAAGTGGAGGCCATGAGAAGTGGAGGCCATGTCTCGAGAGAAGTGAGGCCATGTCTCGAGAGAAGTGGAGGCCATGTCTCGAGAGAAGTGGAGGCCATCTCGAGAGAGAGTGGGCCATGTCTCGAGAGAAGTGGAGGCCATGTCGAGAGAAGTGGAGAGAGAAGTGGAGGCCATGTCTCGAGAGAAGTGGAGGCATGTCTCGAGAGAATGTCTGTCTCGAGAGAAGTGGAGGCCATGTCTCGAGAGAAGTACCGAGAGAAGTGTGTCTCGAGAGAAGTGTCTCGAGAGAAGCGGAGGCCATGTCTCGAGAGAAGTGGAAGAGAAGTGTGTCTCGAGAGAAGGGAGGCCATGTCTCTCTCTGGTGAGCCAGCCATGTCTCCCAGAGCCCCCTCGAGAGAAGTTGAGAGCCTCGATGTCCTGTCTCCCATGTCTCGAGAGCCATGTCTCGAGAGAAGCCCATGTCTCGAGTGTGAGAGAAGCGGAGGCCATGTCTCGAGAGAAGCGGAGGCCATGTCTCGAGAGAAGTGGAGGCCGTGTCTCGAGAGATGACCAACCGCCCCCGCCTCCCGGAGGGCTCTCGCCCTGCCGCGCAAGAGGCGTGCCTTCCACGAGAGGCCGAGGGAGCGAAGGTCATTCCGCCAAAGGTCGAACCGTCGCTTTGCAGCGAAAATAAGGCTAAAGCAGAACCCAAATTTCCTGAGCAGCGTTAGCATTAGTCAAAGAAAAGACGATTTAAAAGACTCCCGTCGCGATAATAGTAAATAATAATAATAATAATAATAACAATAATAATAATATAATGATAATATAAAATAATAATAAATAAATAATAAATGAAAAAATAAACGCCAATAAAAGAAGAAAAAATATGTGATAAAAAAAGAAAAAATCTGAAAAGAAAACAATTTCGACTCGTGCCGCTCCACTCACCTCCGCTTCCGGGGGGACCTGGTGGCTGACTGGCGCTCGAGGCTGCGCACGCGCCCCCCCCCCCCTTCGCCTCCCCTTCCCCTCCTCCCCCATCTCTCCCTTCCTCCCCCTTTCTCCCTTCTCTCCTTCCCCTTTCTTTTCCTTTCCCCTTCCCCTCCCCTCCACTACCCTTCCTCCTCTTGCCTCTTTCTCCTTCCCATCCCTCCCCTACCCTCCCCCTTCCCCCTCCTCTCCCTTCTTCCTCTTCCCCTGCCCCTTGTTTTCCCTTCCCCTCCCCTCTCCCCCTCCCCTCCTCCTCTCTACTATCATTATTATTATTATCATTGTTATTATTAACATCATTATTGTTACTATTATTATTATTTATATAATTATTATTAGCATAATTACTGTCATTATTGTTATAATTAGCATAGTTATTGTTATCAAAGATGTTATCATCATTATTATCATTACTACTATTATTATCATAATCATCATTATGATCACTATTGTGAAGGATGTATCTTAACTTTAACCCCTATACAAAATTTCTTAGGAGACGAAAACACTGCAAATAACAAATAGGATATATCATAACGTCAAAAACTATGTGGACCAAAAATACAACTCCTACAGGGACGAGTTCGAGACACCTGTCGAGAGTCAGCGAGAGGCTCGACCGCCGAGGCAACAGAATGCGTCCATCCCACAGCGAGGGAGCGGGGCGTGGCTTCCCAGGCGCGCGAGAGGTCCCGAGATGAGCCGGCCTGATGCTTTCGTTATCTGAATTGCCATTATCATTGTTGTTATATTTTGATGGCAGGATGTAGAGGCCACGGAAGAGGCATTTTTATTTAATCACAATTTCGATAAAAAAAATCGGTTATTTCCAGGTCAAGAGAAGGAATACGTTGCCCAAGGGAAGCGCCGATGCTATAAAAGCGGTTCGCTGATTTTGAATTGAAATGTGTCAGTCTTGGAGTTATAAAATAGCTCACTTTTATGTTAATATTGGTTAACTGTCACTCGTAGTATAAAAAGTGTTTCCTGTCATGCGTAACGATAAAAAAGAAAATATATGAATATATTGGAAGCAAATTACGAATGAGAAACACCCCACACACTTTGAACAAAAAAAAAGAAAAAAAAAAAAAAGAAAAAAAAAAGAGGGAGAGGGAGAGAGATAGATAGAGAGATATATATAGAGATAGATAGAAAGATAGAGAGACAGACAGACAGACAGGCAAAGAGAGAGAGAGAGAGAGAGAGAGAGAGAGAGAGAGAGAGAGAGAGAGAGAGAGAGAGAGAGAGAGAGAGAGAGAGAGAGAGAGAGAGGAGAGAGAGAGAGAGAGAGAGAGAGAGAGAGAGAGAGAGAGAAAGAGAGAAGAGAGAGAGAGAGAGAAGAGAGAGAGAGAGAGAGAGAGAGAGAGAGAGAGAGAGAGAGAGAGAGAGAGAGAGAAGAGAGAGAGAGAGAGAGAGAGAGAGAGAGAGAGAGAGAGAGAGAGAGAGAGAGAGAGAAGAGAGAGAGAGAGAGAGAGAGAGAGAGAGAGAGAGAGAGAGAGAGAGAGAGAGAGAGAGAGAGAGAGAGAGAGAGAGAGAGAGAGAAGAGAGAGAGAGAGAGAGAGAGAGAGAGAGAGAGAAGAGAGAAGAGAGAGAGAGAGAGAGAGAGAGAAGAGAGAGAGAGAGAGGAGAGAGAGAAGAGAGAGAGAGAGAGAGAGAGAGAGGAGAGAGAGAGAGAGAGAGAGAGAGAGAGAGAGAGAGAGAGAAAGAGAGAGAAATGGATCCTTTTGAAAACTGAAATTGAACCTTTG